CAGTAGCCCCGTTTTAGGTATCCCAAGCCTTCTAGTGTGATGCTTCTGACTATTCCTTTCTCTCCCCCTCCAGTGTCTACTCTATATTATAATGCAAGGAAAACCAAGATTCAAAATAACAGTCAAGCATGTTAACACGATTCCCCGCCCATTCCAACCATGGGTCAAATCCCTGTATCTCAGAGCCCTGGAGCTCCAAGGCTGTGCACACATCGTCCTTTATCTCTGTCCCACTTGGTCCGATTGACTGACTCTTGAAAGCAGATTTACCAGGACTTTCTTCCTAGTCTACTTTAATCTGGGAGTGCCACTGTAATCTGTTGAGAATCAAAGCAACACGGAAATTCTCCACTGATGGGGGTGGTTGTACATGAAGTGTATGGTCAGGAATCAAACCCATGTCTTCCTCGTGGAAGGTGAGAATTCTACAATAGCTCATATCCTTATTTTAAAAAGCAAACAAACCAACCAATCAAAAAACCTCTCAAGAAGGTCTCATTTTTCAGATAAGGAAGCTAAGGTTCAGAGAGGTAAAGTGACTTGCCAAAGGTCACTTAGCTTCTTAGGACAGTGATGCCAAGCTAGGTTTATCTCATTCTAAAGTCCCTTGATGGCACTGGCGATGGCATTTAAAATTTCCTCCTAGAACTGCAATTAGCTTCTGTCATTGCTAAGGTAAAGGGTGGATACACAAAGCACTTCTTGATGGACTTGCTCTTCCTTAGATCTGCACTCTCCTTGCTTGTGTCAGAAGACAGTGGAGAGATCCTATCCTGTGCCTTAACAAGAAAAGCTCTAAAGACCTGGGCTCAAGTCCTATCTAGCTCAGTAAGTTTTGAGTGTTGTGACTTGGACAAGTCACTTACTTTCTGGACCTAGGTAACAATCCAGGCCTGGACAAGTGAGAGAATGGACATCAGAGAACTTTGTAATCTTCTGAAGAGCATGAGAAGATGAATGGAGACTAGAGTGCAGGAAAATCCCATTGGACCAGATGTCAGAAAACCTGGGTTCTAGTTCCAGATCAACCCCTACCTCCCTGTCACAGTCTGGATTCTTGTTTATAGCCTGTGACAATCACTACAAGCTATTTTTGAAGTATCATGTTATCTTTTTTTTTTACCTGTCCCCTCCCTCCTGCCGTCATCAGCCCACAGCCCCTCTCCCTCTCTGGGTCTAGAGTCTAGCTGCTCCATCTCTCCACGTCATTGTCTCTGCCTCCATCTCTGGTGTCACTGCTTCTCTGGGTGGGGTCTCGCTCTCCGCTTTTCTCCCTTGATCGTCCCAGGGACCTCGGCTCCTGGACTGCATAGTCAATCACTCTCCTCTCTTTACTACAAAATGTCCACCTTTACATTTCCAACCCTTGCAGTCAGTCCGGATAACAATTATTCACTACTGTACCACAAGGGACCTATCCCCATCTCCTTTCATCAGCCCTGCCTAGACAGATTGGATCCTACTCAGTGGAGATTCTACCTTCTTCCATGCCCTCTGGATCTAGGTTCCCTCTTGAAAGCTTATAAGCCTTTGTAGCTCCCCCCACTTTGGGTAGCCAATGTCCAAGTTGCCTATCCCTGTCTACTCTGTGTATGGAGGGGGTGGGAATGATCCTCGCTCTAAAGTTTTGTTTCCTCTTTTGAGCTACGACATCCATAGGTGTAGGTCAAGTTCATCAAATTATATCAGATTACTCTTTTTTTCCCCTCTTCTTTCTTCTTCTATTGGAGTTCTGATCATCCAGTCATTGAAGCCAGGTGAAGTGGGTATTATCTGTAAGTGTAGATGTTCTTGTGCATATGCCCTCTCAGTTGGACACTTCACTCTCCACTCGAGTCCTCTGTGTCTATGTTACTGACTCTGGGCCCAAGAGTCCCCAGGTCTTTCCATACTGCTGGCCAACCAGGTCTCCACCCGGGGTTGACAGGAGTCTATTGAACATTGTAGGGCTTAGCTTGCAGCTTCATTGCTGTTTTCCCTCACTTCCCCTTATCAGTGATGAACGTAGTCACCAGTCAAAGTGCATGTCTGCTCCTGTATTCCAATTGAGTCTTAGTCTTGGAAGTCCCCTTGAGGGGACCCGACCACTTGCCTTGATGTCTCCTGGGCAAGCAAGTCTCCTGTTATCTTAAACGTTAATGTGAATTTGGCATTCTGCTCCATGAGGCATCTGTGTTTGTTTTAATATAAAAATAAGATTTTTCCTGTATGAGGCCACTGAACAAACATCAGCTTGGCACATACTATGTATGGGCTTGCTGTATGACCTTGGACAATTCACACAGGCTCCCTGACCTTGGTTAAGGCTTGGGCCTGGGGTTACCCATCTGTGAAATAGGGAGAGGAGCTTGTGTCCACTCTGTTTCACCATTTTTCTGTGAGGGTTTGAAAGTGTCAGAAAACGTCACAACTGCTTTAGCCAAAAGGTCATTCATTGGTCGGCCACACAATGGAAAGTCTAGGGACACAGCTGGATTCAGGGCTCTGATGAGGTCACCAGGACTCAATTTCTCTCCATTTATTGCTCAGCCTTCATTGTGGCCTGGGGCAGCTCCAGGTTCTCCTTC